AGGAACTAGAGCATTGCAAACAAAAGATATTGATGAATACATATTAAACTGTAATTAGGAATAAATCCTTGATAATTTTATTCTGTAGGTGCCCTGGCATTCCTCTGGGAGTGTATGCCTGTGTGTGGTTATAGTGTGAAACATGCAAAGCACTTGTTAATGTCAAAAATGATGGTAACCTTCCATCCAGTTCATTCCCACATTTTATTAAACACTCCAAATGATTCTAATATTTAGATATGTAAGCTGTATTTGAATAAAATTGTACTTTACACTTTTGTGACAATTTATTACAGCTCACAATGTGCTTTCTTTCACATTATATACTGTAACCCTCACAATACCCAGGCAAAGCAGGTACTGACCATATTTTATAGATAGTTTGAGTACTTGGAAAGTGAACTGAATTACCCTTAGTTAGAAGAACCAGTAACATAACCCAGTCCTATGAGCTTTTTTATTTAATTACACTAAGACATTTCTCAGGTTTATTTAGTTTTTTTTTTTTTTTTTCCTTTGGACATGCAGTCTGAGTTTCATTGACCATTTGTGGAGAATCTATTTTCAGAAAAAAAATTAATCACAAAATGTCCCCTTTTTTTCCTTAAATATTTGTATTGTCTTTGAAGGCAGAATTATTCTGGGAGAAACATGAACGTAAAATAACTTGATAAATGAGTCATGAATAAAATTTCTTTTTAAAGAATTGTTATAAATTACAATATTATTTCAACATTGAGAATAAATTATTAGCTTTTTCAAACATTGCTCCATGAATGCTTCAGAAAATCATGTGTAAAGTGAGCACTTATTTGAGAGCTGGAGTCTTACGTTCTGCCTTTTTTCCCCCCATTTTTTGAAGTTGGTTTCTTGTTTCCTTCACCTTCAAATTGATTTAACAGGCAGTTTCATTTTCTATACGAAATGAGAAGACCCTTTGGTCAAAAAGTCATCTTAGACTTCAATTTAGCCATCCTAAATACATGTCAGGAAATAATCCATAATATTAATGACAAAACCAACAAACAACAAATGGTTAGATATAAACTGAATCCAAGAAGACCATTCATGGGCATTATAATAATATATTTTGTTTATGTGTTTATTTCCCAGTCAACTCCAGAAAACTTTGGTGAGTCTATTTTGAGTTTTGCTCTAGGCTATAGAGAACCTAGGACGTATTTAATGCTAAATATCATACATAATTACATATGCATAATTGATGCATAATTGCATTGGACTTTGATCTAACACTGGATTCTTTTGATTTATGGAGCGACATTTTATTGTCCATGTTCCAAGGTTCATATGCCCAGCAGAGAAATAGATGGTGGTATAGGAAAGGCCAAGCACAGTGACTGACACGTAGACATCCCATAAATGCTTGCCGTTATTGTTTTTTTGTGTCAAATCAGATGGACCTATTAATAACAGTCTACTCAGTATTCACTTGCATACTCAGAGATTTGGCCATATTATATACACCTTTGCAACTTAAAATAATAATTCAAGTTTAACTTAAGAATTTTGCTTGAAAGTTCCAAGGTATACTACTAGCAAGTGATACACATGTATGAGTAGATTGGGCTAGTTTGACCAAATTTAATCATTTGTTTCTTATTTAATCTAGTCTTCTAGTCTTTCAAATTAAGCTTAATAACATATGGAGTGACCAATTTCTTATTCCTGAAGTCATTTGACATTCAAGGAAAGTCGATAGGACAGAATACATACATAAAAGCTCTTTGGAGCCCAACCTGGCACATAGGAGATTCTTAATCAATCACTCAATCAATCAATTAATCAATGTATGTTGAGTCTGAATCTAGTAGTAACTTACTTGAGGCCAAAAGAAACTCACTTAGTTCTGATTATATAAATGATAAAGATTTTCTCCTTTTATAAACATAATGTTCAATTTTGTTGTTGTTGTTGTTGTTTTAATCAAAGACGTAGATGGCGGAATGGACCAGGACATATTTGATATCAATGAAGGTTTGTGGATTTTTTTTTACATAATCTCTTAAGTATAGAGTTTGAATCCAATTTGCTAACATGAATTTTTATCTTTACTCTTAGGTTTGGGACTGGATCTTTTTGAGGGTGACATCAGACTTGATAGGGTGAGTTGAAACAGTGTAAGGAAGAATCTTCCATTAACCACTGCAAGCCAAGTTCAGAGTAACTAAGAAAGATTAGACAGCATGAATTTTGTTAAGCCCAACTATCTCTAAGGGTGTAGAATCATGGCGACACATTTATTCAATAAATATGTTACACTCAAAGAAATGCATATGATTGTGTCTTCATCTTTCATTACTCAGATTTCTGTGTGGTTCAAGCCACCATAACTCATTACATATGTCTTAGTCTTATTGATTTGACTGATTTTCATCATTGGAGTAATATGACATTTTCATTTTAAAATAGGACCTCACAGATTCAATCTGGTGGAAGCAAAATTAAACTGAATTTGTAAACATCTTCAATGAATCAGGCTTTTTACCACACACAAAAAAATAGATTTTGTGACTTCTACCCTGGCCTTAGCTAAAAATTGCCAAGTTAAGACCCTCCTAAACCTATTCATAAAGAGTGCTGATTCTCATCTAAGTCATCATGCCACACAGATAAACACAGGTACCTTGCATGTAGATTAGGGGGACTAAAAAGTTCATTATCATAAAAGCACTATTTTTTTCAGTGTTCTCTCACAGAATGGAAATAAGCACTAGTTTTCAAAAGAAAAGATACAGTTTATTGTCCACTAGATTGAAAAATATTAAGAAACTTACTACTTACTATCCCTTTTGGTGATGATAGAGAGAAACCAGTATGCTTGTTTAGGAATGTGTTTATAACATGTTATTATACTGGAGAGTATATAAGCTTGAAAAAAAGAAAGAAGATTTGATTTGATAAGAGCTATCATAATTTAAAATATGTACACCATATGACCTAGAAATTATCCAGTAGATCTTTTCGTGTAAAATTCTGCTCTTCCTTCCAACACAGTCCTGAGTCACTCCCTTACTTCCTATGTCATAAGCATCAACATCCCTTACAGTCCTCCCACCCTCAGGAAACAGAGCTGCAGCGTCCCAGGCTTAGTCCTGAGCCTACTCTTCTATCTGTACTCTCTCTTGATCTCACCTTGGTCCAGGGATTTAAATGTCATCTCCATGCCAATTAATCCAAAGGCATATCTCTGGTCCTTTCCTTTCTCTGAGCTCCAGACTGGTCTATCCAAGTGCTAATTTGCCAGCTCCACTTGAATGTCTACAAGACATCTCAGACCTAAGATGTCTTCTGATCATGTGAACCCTGACCTTCCCCCTAAACTGTTCTTCCCCACTCTCCTCTCTTCATAAAGTCATCCTCACAACCTGACTGTACTCAACTGAACACATAAAAACTTCAAGAGTCACCTTTGCTTCTCTTCTCTCCTTCACTCCCCATCCAGCCCATCAGCAAGTTCTGTCATTTCTAGCTCTAACACACACTGCAAGTTGTCTGCTTTTCTCCAGCACTCTAATTCAGGCCCCATCATCTCTTGCCTGGCTTTTTCCATTAGCCTCCTAATTTATCTTTCTATTTCAGATATGGTTCCCCCATAATCTTTTCTACCCTGTTACTTGTCCTTATCTCTCATGCAAAGTCATTTTTCAAACAGGCAGTGACTTCATTTCACCTCCTGGCTTGAAACTCTTCCATAGTTACCTATGGGTTTAGAATCATCTCCGGATTTAGCCCTAGCCTTCTAAGCCCAGCATGACTTAGCTCCTGCTTCTCTCCTCCCCTCTCCCTTCCCCTCTCCTCTCTTTTCCTCTCCTCCTGTCTCATCCATGTTTTCTCTTCACTCATTAGGCTACTGGTCTCAACACATATTCAAAACATACCAGGCATATTCCCACCTCAGAAGCAGAATAACTAATGTTCCCTCTGCCTGAAACCACCTTCCCGGGACCCCTTTCAACGCTGGTTCTTCTTGCGATCCTATTTCCCCTTAAATGTCATCCCTTCAGAGAGGCCTGTCCTGATCACTCCATCTCATGTACTCCCTCATCCCTCTGCCCTTGTTCACATCTGTCTTTCTAATTTCCTCCCTATTGCGTTCATCCTGCTTAAACATATATTTTTTTTCATACTGTTTCTCTCCTCCACTAGATATAAGCTCCGTGAAGCCAGGGACCTTTATTGCCAAGGACTCTCTATTCTCTAGGACAGTATTCCATTTGTTGACTCGGCAAATACATTAGTAAAATATTATTCCCATTTTCCATTACACAGTTTAAAATCCTTTAAACATTTTTGAAAACTTTGGCCCAGTTCATGTGTGACTTTTTCTGATATTGTGATATCCAGATTATCAAGGTCTTGCTATCACTGTTTTCTTGCATATTTTTAATCTTTAAGTGTGGGAAACTAACCTATAAATCTACCAACATTTGTAGTTCAGTTTTCCAACAGTTATTTTTTGCATTATTCCTTCAACTATATTAACAAAATTAATGATAGAAATTAGTAATTTCTTCCTAGAAACTTTGTTATATTATGATAAAAGTAGGGCTACACACACACACACACACACACACACAGAGTTTGTGCGAACTGGGAGAGCTTTAAAATTCATTTATTTCTAGATTAACTACTGATTGTTTCCTAAGTGTTTGCCTTATTCGTTTAACTAGCCCTTTTGCATTTATTTTTGACAGGCACAAATTAGAAATTCCATCATTGGAGAAAACTATAGATGGCCTCATACCATTCCATATGTTCTAGAAGATAGCTTGGGTTAGTATGTGCCTTGGAGTATTCACAACTAATATATGTTTCTGATAAAATATGATTACAATGTTTCAAAGGGTGGGCTTATGTGGTCTTTAAGGTTTTGTTTGATTTGCTCCTTTGTGTGGCTATGTACATTTACTTTGAAAAAAATAAGCAAAATGAACAATGAACGTAACCTAAATGATTCTGTCTGAAATATTTAGTATGGAGAGCCTACTGTGTTATGCTAGGGACATAACGATTAGGGAGCCAGTCTTTTTTTTGTGGGGGAGGGCCTCTGCATCATATATTCATTGAACCAGTGCAAAAACATCTTTTGGGGAGCAGGCAGGCCAGGCCAGGGTCCCGGGAGGATACTGGGGGTGCGGTGGGGGTGAAACATGGAAGAAGAGGGCCTTGCTTCCTCTTCCCATGGCAGGTATGCCTCCTTCTCCTGGAGTCTGGATCCCTGGTGAATGGGGCCACTGACTAACTGTCCGTCTGCCTGTCCCTCTCTATCCCTGCAAATTTGGGGAAGAAGAGTCCTTGGCAGCCCGGGGCTGGGAGCCCAGGTCCTCTGGTGCCTCCACTGACTCGGGCTTCGTGGCCTTGGGCTCCTCGGCCTTATCCCTGTTTCTACTGGCCTCCTGGAGCTGGTGTCACTGCGTCACCTCGGCGTTCAGATTCTCCAAGTCTTTTTGACTGAGAGGAATGAAGAGGATGCCACTGATGCCTCTGAACTGCTCCAAGATGCTGGCCATGCCGGGGGCTGTGAAGTTGAGGGGCGGGATGTTGTTGCTGGAGCCATTGCGGTAGATCTCATTCATGGCGCTCCGCAGGACCACGGCTGGCTGGGTCAGGCATTTGAGGTACTCGGAGCTCTCCTTGATCTTCTCCTGGTCCTCGCCCAGCTGGGTATTACGGAGGGTGTGCAGTCCTTCCTTCTGGTGCTGCAGGGCCCACCGGAACTCAGCCTTGCTCTCATAGACCCAGGCGATGAGATGGTGGCCAAGGCCACCTTGAGGGCCTTGGGCCCGTGGTACTTGGTGCTGACGGCCAGCGCGTTGTCCAGGAAGCGTGGCGACAGGTCGTACTCCATCACCCTGTGCAGCACCCGCCCGATGCTGTCCAGCACGCCACCTCGGGGTGTCTTCCCCAAGCACCAGCAGCGTGAGGTAGCCGGCGCCCCACAGCAGGCTCAGGGCCGGAGACAGCTGCCTGCTGGTGAAGCAGTGCAGGGCCAGATGCGTGTTTTCCTGGATGGTGTTGGGGTGCTCGATGCCCGTCACCCGAACGCTCATCAGCACTGCCTCCTGCTGGCTTCTCAGGGCCTCTGCGTACTCATGATGTAGTACCTCATGCGTACCCATGATGTAGTGGAGGCGGGCGAGGAGGCGCAGGCAGGCGCAGATCTCCACGTGCACCGCTCCCTACACTTTGCTAAACAGGTGCAGGGCCTGATTGATGGGCTCACAGGGAGCCAGTCTTTATTTTAAAGCAGGGGTTTCCCCTGTGACCAAGTATACATATGACAAAACGCATAAAATAAACAACTAAACAGAACTTGAAGAACTGGCATTGTTTTATCAACATTTTATTTTGCCAGGTCAGGAACTTCAACAATGTAACATGATAAAAGAGCTTTTATCATCCTCTTTTCATACAATAAATAATGTTATTAGTTTAGTATTAAAATGTTAAAAAGTCAGAAGAATCAAATTCAAAACTAAGGGCAGCTTTTCTATAGAAGAAACTTAAATGTGTTGGAAAACTCTAAACATGGTCTTCATTTTATCTATGGACTAGTGACAATGATGTCACTGACCAGCATTAGTGTAGAAATTGCTGTTTGGGAAAAGTTTGAGTAAAAACCCTGCTATAGTTTTTGAATTTTCTTTTTCTTTTTTTTTTTCTTTTTGAGACAGAGTCTTGCTCTGGAGTGCAGTGGCACGAGCTCAGGCTGGAGTGCAGTGGCACGAGCTCAGGCTGGAGTGCAGTGGCACGAGCTCAGGCTGGAGTGCAGTGGCATAATCTCGGCTCACTGTAACTTCTACCTCCCAGGTTTCAGCAATTCTCCTGCTTCAGCTTCCCGAGTAGCTGGGATTACAGGCATGTGCTAGCACACCTGGCTAATTTTTGTATTTTTTAGTAGGGACGGGCTTTCGCCATGTCGGCCAGGCTGGTCTCGAATTCCTGGCCTCAAGTGATTTGCCTGCCTCGGCTTCCCAAAGTGCTGGGATTACAGGTATGAGCCACTGCACCCAGCCTGTTATAGTTTTTTAAATTTTCAACTTTTATTTTAGATTCGGGGGTAAGTGTGCCGGTTTGTTACACAGGTGTGTTGCATGATGCTGAGGTTAGGGGTCCAAATGAACCCATGACCCAGGAGTTGAGCATAGCACCCAATAGGTGGCTTCTCCAACCCTTTCTCCCCCCCTTTCCCCTCTTGTAGTCCCCAGTGTCTTTTGTTCTCATCTTTACATCCATGTGTATGTAATATTTAGCTCCCACTTAAGGGAAAACATATGGTATTTGAAAACCCTGCTATTTTCCTTAAGGATCATGCATTTCAGTGGAGATTCACAAAAAAGTGAATTATGATAGAATGGAATAAACATGATTAGTGATATGTTCAAAGAGCTATGGGAGCACATTGGAGGGGCATTAAACTCCACCTGGATAGAAAAGCATATGCATTATAAGTAGAGGACACTATACAGCAGGACTGCCACAAAGGTTGTGTAACTTGTACACTATACAATGGACATGACCTCCTGGAGCTGGTGCCGCCATGCCACCTCGGCTTTCAGATTCTGCAAGACTTTTTGACTGAGAGGAATGAATGAAGAATGCCATTAATGATGCAGAGCTGCTTCAAGAGGTTGCTCTCAGGTGGCTGGGCCAGGAAACAAGTGGAGCTGATACCAGGTTTACGTTCTTTCTGTTCACCAGGAGGCATTTGTTTCTTTGTGTGAAAGTGCTGTTCACCCGTCTGGACAGCCAGCAACTGCACCCCCTGCTCAGATGTAGTGCCTCTTTCTAATCTGCACACAGGCACCATGTGGGCTAGTGTGGCCTCTGATAACAAGGGAAGGGTGCTTTAGCCAGATGCACCACGATCTGCTAAAGCTTGAAGAAGGGAGAAAACCCTGAGCTGGAATTTAGATTGAGAGTGGGGAGATAGGAAGTTGAGCAGGTAGGCAGAACCCAGGTGGGAAAGGACTTGGGTCTTTACCGTGTTAAAGAACTTGTTGTGTATACTAATAACATGGAGCCACCAAAAGTATTATTGTGGCAGTGAGATTGTTAAAATTGCAGTTTAAAATAATCACTTGGGTTGAAGTATAGAAGATGTGTCGTTAGTGGGGTAAAAAGAAGGTAGGGAGACCAGTTAGAAGACCAGTGAGGAAATTCAGAGAAAGAATTAAGAGATTCCTAACCAAGACTTTCTCAATGGGGATAGACAAGAGTGGATAAATCTAAAAGCTATTTGGGAGGCATTTGTTAGACTTAGTGATTGACTGTAAGAGGTCAAAAAGAAGGTGGATGTAGGTAATGAGATTCTAGTGCTCAGGATTCAGTCCTGGGTAGCTGAGTGGATGGTAATGTCTTTAACAAGAATGGAGAATTTAACCTTGAGGAGCATGAGACAGAGAAGTGTGGTGGAAATTAGCTTTTGGCATGCAGAATTTGAAATGTATCAGAGTCACTGTGGTGGAGATACTAAATAAAGTGTTGGTATATGACCTGGTCATTCAAGATCGAGAAATATTTGGGAGTTATTAGGATATAAGAGATGGTTGAAGCTGTGAGTATGGATGAGCATTTCACACAGTGCCTTGCACAGAACAGGTGCTCCATAGATAACTGGATTTTATTGATTTATCCTGGAAGGTTGTGTTGAACAAGTAAGAAGATGGTCGAGAATGAAACTCAGTGCCATGTTTTGGAACTGGTATAGAAGGAAGATCTGGTGGAAGTTATTGAGAAGGGGGAATTGGCCAGAAACATAGATGAAAAACTAACAGTAGGGTAGGGAAAGCCAGGGCAGGAGTAGTTAGCAGGGTTGGAAGCCATAAAGAGCAAAGAGAGCATGAGGAGAGAAAGAGGTTCATTGACTTTTGGAATCAGGAACCTGAAAGATTTTGAATATATATGTTTTTTAGTTTAGTCTTTTGATTAAAAAATTTTTAAGTTCTTTTATTTTAATTCTCCTTCCTTTCTTCCCTCCCTCCCTCCTTCCTTCCTCCCTCCCTCCCTCCCTCCCTCCTTCCTCTCTGTCTCTCTCTCTCTCTTTTTTGAGATGAGTTGTTACTCCATCACCCAGGCTTCAACCTCTGCCTCTCAGGCGTAAGTGATCCTTCCACCTCAGCCTTCCAAGTATCTGGGACCACAGACGTATGCCACCATGCCTGGCTAATTTTTTGTATTTTTGGTAGAGATGGGGTTTCACCTGTTGTCCAGGCTGATCTTGAATTCCTGAACTCAAGCAACCCACCCGCCTCGGCCTCCCAAAGTGTTGGGATTACAGGTGTGAGCCACCACGTCCAGCTATATTTCTTTTTTCTTTTTTTTTTTTTTTTAAATTATTCTCCTAAGTATGTTCCATGAAAGATTAGGGAGCTTTAATTTTATATATCTCTTAGGCTATATATTTTTTGCCATGTATTTAACCAAAGCCATCTAACATTATAAGCTTTAGTTATTTTTTAAACAACATTATAAACAACATAATGAATGCCTTGAGGACAAGAGCTATTTTTCATCTTGCAAATTGGAGGATTACCATAGTCTCTGGCATCTTATATGTAATAATATTTTTGAAATAAATTGATAAGCATATGTATATATATATAAATGAAAAATGTTAGGTAAAAATTCAGCCTAGATCCTACCATCCAAGCTGTGCACATTTTTACGTAGTTATAACTATGACGTCTTAACTTTTTTGTTCTAATTTTTTCATTTAATGTTACTGCATTTTTTCATATTGTATAGTCTTTATAATAGAATCAAACTTCAAATTGTTATAGACTAATTTTTAAAATTATGTGATTTTGATTATTTCTTATTTAGAAAATACCTTTGTTTAATATTGTAGAATTCAACTTATTTTCTATGTTCAAATTAAGAAAAGTATCCTTATGTTTCAGAAATGTATACCATCTTCAAATGACTCAGACTAAGAAAATTACTAAGCAAGGCCACTCTTATAGGTAGCAAAAGTAAACACCTATGAAAGGTTGATTTCTGGAAGACCCTATTACTCAGATGCTAGTAGGTCAACCTGTGAAATTCTACCAGTAGGACTGTAGTCTTTGAGCTTGAACTTCAGATGTTACCTGGCTGGTAGATGCAACTTCCCTGAAAGGAGTAACACTCAAAGCAGCGATTTATACTTTCCAGGGCCTAAGTTATAATTCCTTGCCTTAGCACCAAGGGAGAAAAGGCAGTGGGGGAGGCTGAGGGTAAAGAGTTGGGGATAGAAATGAAGGGGAAGGTGCTAGAAACCTGAAGGGGCTACTAAGGGGAAACAATCCTGAACAGCTGCTTACTGAACTCCTAGGACTGCCAGCAACTTGCCTTATTTTCCGAAGCCTGGGGATTTCTATGATATGGTTCCAAGTGGAGCTTTCTATATCTATAAAGCAAGGTTAACTAAGGCCCTTGGTAAATAAAGGCATATGGAAAACAAAGATCTTATCTTGGTAAAGGGCCTCAGTGTTTATAAAGCTTTCACATGTTACTTTATTAATTCAAGAAACTGTCCTCATTAAGTTTTGATAAATGGCCTAAACTAGTATGCTCTTTTAAGTTCTGTTTAAAACAGTGATATGGTGGTCAGTATTATCATACCTTATTTGAAGGAAATATTACATTTGAAATAATGACCCAAACATGATACTTATAGGACAGAACATTTTGAATGTTACAGCCATCTGTAGATACACACACACACACACACACACACACACTTTGCATACTATTTCAGGGTGTTCATAGACCTTCCCATCTGAATGTCCTCAGATTAAAAGCCCGGCTGTGAGGCTTTAAATACGTATTATAGCTTCTCAGATGAAGTATGTGGTGACAATTTATTTTGATTGCCTGTGATCCAATGTCCAATGGATCCAATTTGTAATTCTCTATTCATTAAAATGATAAAAACAATACTCAATGATGAAAAAAGATTTTGATGACATAATATTTAGTGAAAAAATAGTTGGTAAAATGCTATGTAGGTGACTTTATTTTTTATAGAAATATTAACATATGTATGTTATATGTGTATTCAAAGGCAAAATGTATGGTAAGGGTGATTGATTATACCTGGATGATAGGATTTTAAATTTCTTTTTATTCCTATCAACATTTTAACTTATTTATAATGATAGTGTATTACTTATGTGGTATTGTAAAAGTCTGAACGTAGTGCCTTTTACAACTTATGGATTTTAGGGTCTTCCCTATGTGAATCCTGTTCTTGATCTTCTTAGACCTCCCTCAACAGAGGCATACCAAGTAATCTTCCTTGAACGTCTATGCAATGGTTACTCAAGAAGGGAGAAAGGAAATGAACATTTGACAAATGCTAATTTTACTTGGAACTTCACGTTTACTTTCTCTTATTATCCTCACAATATCCTGCAAAGTTGATTTTATTTCCTCACTTAACTGATAATAACACCAAAGCTCCAAAGGTTGATTGAATTAGCAAAAGTTTTATGTCAAAAGTAAGTAGTGAGGATAGAGAAGAACTTAGGTGTGTCTGGCTCCAAAGTCCAAGCACTTCCCCTCTGCCATACTGTCTCCTACCTCCTGGCAGGCTCCCATTTTTCACTTCACTAGGACCTGGCCATATGATGCCTCTCCATGTGCATCTGATACAGCCCCTTCCTCCTGGTCACTCACAAGTTTCTTTTCCTGCATATTGTTTCTTCTATGCCTCTGCCTTCTTTGAGCTCCATATCCATATCACTCTTATATCCAAAGCATTGGCTCTTACCCCTATTTTGGGCCACGAACTCACTTGCAGACCTCATGAAAGCTCTCTCTAGAAAATGCACTTTGTGTATGTAGATGTGCATGCGCACACACACACACACACACATGCACGCTTTGCATACTATTTCAGGCTGTTCATAGACTCTCCCATCTCAAGATCCTCAGATTAAAAGCCCAGCTGTGCGGCTTTAAATACATATTATGTCTTCTCAGATGGAGTATGTGATGGTGATTATCTATTTTGATTGCCTGTGATCCAATGGATATGTTCTCTGAGGTAAAGAAATGCATTTTTATTGTTTAGTAATGCACCATTAGTGAGTGCTAGAGAAATATGAGGCCAAATAAGGGATCTGAAGAATAAGCAGATACTGTATATGATATTCAATGGGTACTGAATTCTAATTTTTGTAAAAATAAAAGACTCAACATTCATGAAGAGACTAACTCATGATAAGCAATACATTACAATGGCCTGCTTCCATGGTAGATTTTTCAATGGTGATTGTTTTAATAAGTATATTTTTGTTTGTTTTCTTCCTTCAGAAATGAATGCTAAGGGAGTTATCCTCAATGCATTTGAACGTTATCGCCTAAAAACCTGTATTGACTTTAAGCCTTGGGCTGGAGAAACAAACTATATATCAGTGATCAAAGGCAGTGGGTAAGTTGAAGACTTAGTCTTCCAAGGCATCTAAGGAGAACTCTAGTGCCTGGGACGTTACATTACAGCAATCGTCCTAGGCTCTGATCTTTAGGAAGGGGTGGGGACTTTCTTGCTAGTTGCTGGAGAGTAAAAAACAACTGGATCTAGTTTTCATAGACATAGAAATTATATTCCCATACACGTAACCACCTTTAGACAAAGTGGATGGGATTGCATGCCATCAGACCCACAACCTTGTGAATTTCAGGCCGTTTGTAATTTACATACTCTTTATCCCTTTCAAGTAAAAAAATGTGTATTTATGCGTGTCCATGTCTGTATTTAAGCTTATTTTAACCCAACCACTCTTATTTCTTGAGTTAAGAAGGCGACAGTATTATTTGTCTTGAGCTCAGCAATTCTGAGTGATTGCTGTCCCTGTAAAGTCCTTGTTTAATGGGCAGAGGCATACCAAGGAGGATCTCAAAGACTTTGAAATTCACAGGAAAAACCAGGTCTGGACCACCTTGGGGATGATTTGCTCCTATGTAATATCTGGCGTTAGGGCAAGTTCTTTAAAGATCACCTGGTCTACAAGGTTTTTAAATATTATACAATACCTGATATATTAGGCTGTTCTTGCATTGCTGTACAGAAATACCAGAGACTTGGTAATTTATACAGAAAAGAGGTTTAACTGGCTCACAGTTCTGCAGGCTTTATAGGAAGCATGGTGCTGACATCTGCTCAGCTTCTGGGGAGGCCTCTGCAAACTTACAATCATGGTGGAAGGTGAAGGTGGAGCAGGCATGTCACATGGCAAAAGCAGGAGCCAGAGAAAGAGTGGGGAGGGGGAGGTGCTACACACTTTTAAATGACCAGATCTCATGAAAATTCACTATTGCAAAGACAGCACCAAGCCATGAGGGGTTTGTCCCATGACTCAAATACCTCCCATGAGGTCCCACTTCCAGCATTGGGAATTACATTTCAACATGAGATGTGAGTGGGGACAATTGTCCAAACTATATCACCTGGGTTATAAGAGAAATGCACAGTGTTCAGATGTAACAGCAAAGGATTTAGGTGGGTAATGAGGTGGACTAGGCAGTGGAGATTCTGCCCTGAGACCTCAGATTGTAACATCCTCTTCCCCCTTTCTTGTAAACTCTCCTATAAGCTGCTGGTCTTCAGTGGGAAATAGGCGGGCTGGGAAGCAAGAACTTTCCATCGGGGCAAACTGTGACCGAATAGCAACGGTTCAACACGAATTCCTCCACGCTCTGGGATTCTGGCATGAGCAGTCGCGTTCTGACCGGGATGACTATGTCAGGATAATGTGGGACAGAATTCTGTCAGGTACATTTCTCTTATTTTCCTATGTTTTTAGTCAAGGACTGAATTTCTAAGCATGTGTCCTCTCTTGTCATCTGTGGCAACTGTTAATAATTTTAAAACTTTGATGTTTTGATGTCTTAATTCATTCAGCTCAAACTCATTCTGAGTTATTGGAACACTGGTATTCCAGAACCCATATGAGCTAGATATGCTCTTAGAAACTGGGTTTGTGGTTTTAAAGCACATTCAGTCCCACAATATGTTCCTGAGTATTACGTGGAATGGAGTCTGTGCCCAAATTAGTTTAGCAAATCCCCAAGTCTTAGTCCATCTTGCGCTGCTATAACAAAACACCACAGATTGGGTAATTTATAAAGAACTGAAATTTATTCCTCATTGTTCTGGTAGCTGGAAAGTCCAAAATCAAGGGGTGGGCATTTGATGAGGGCCTTCTTGCTGTGTCGCATACCATGGCAGAGGGCAGAAGGGCAAGGGAGAGTCAGAAAAAAACAGGGCCAAATCTGTCCTTTTACAAGGAATCCACCCCTGCAGTAGCAAACCTACTCCTGCAGCAATGGGATTAATCCATTTATAGGACAGAGCCCTCATGCCCTAATTACCTCTCATTAGGCCTCACCTCCCAACACTGTTGCAGTGGGGATTAGGTTTCCAATACATGCTTTGAGGGGGGGGACATATTCAAGCCATAGCACCTAGGTTAAAAGAAATTAGACTTATTTATCCCGCTATACTGCTCTGAGTCTTTATTAGGTTGACAGGAAATGTAAATCTCTAAGAAAAGTGATTTACAAAATGATTTGATCATGGTCTTTTTTTCTTTTTGCAGAGTAGCTTGTAGAGTATTTGGATTTATTGTTTCATGGAACAATTTTCAGTAATAGTTGAGTAGCATGAACTGTTTGTGATTCTGTGTTCAAAGTCACAAAGTCTTAATAACCATGTCTGACTAGAGCTCATGTTTTCCACATTCCACAGTGACACTCAGCTTCCTCATCTGTCCTGCCTGTGCGGGGCGAGACAGAGGAAAGGGCATTGCTATTATGTCTGAGGCACTGTGAGGAGTGCCCTACACAAGGCCCCCTGACACCACACTTCTTGAAATCACAGATCTTGCTCTTCATCCCCCGCCTCTGTTTATCTCAAATGGGGTCAGGCATAGCAGCAAACTAAAAGATTTCTAGAGAAACAGCAGTGTTTACCTTTAATCCACAGCCATACTCTTTAGGATTCCCAAAGTCTTATTTTTGATCAAAACTTCTGCCCACATTTGATAACACATCTTTATGTTTTGGAGATTAGAACCACCTCAACGTGTCCACAGAATCATTCCATTTCAAGTTGGAATCAGTTGCCCATTGGTATAATACTAAACGGCCTGATGTCTTCTCTAAATAGATTCATTTTTGTTTTTTTATTATTATTTTAAACTGACAAATCATAATTGTATATACTTACAGGGTACAGTGATATTTTGACATGTGTACACAATGTGGAATGACTAAAACAAGCCATCACCTCACTTATCATTTCTGTGGTGAGACATTTGAGATTTATTCTCTTAGCAATTTTGAAATATACACTACATTATTATTAACTATAGTCATCGTGCTTTACTTATTTATTTATTTTGAGACAGAATCTTGCTCTGTTGCTCAGGCTGGAGTACAGTGGTATGATCTTGGCTCACTGCAACTTCCGCCTCCTGGGTTCAAGTGATTCTCCTGCCTCAGCCTCCCGAGTAGCTGGGATTACAGGCGCCCGCCACCACGGCTGGCTACTTTTTGTATTTTTAGTAGAGATGGGGTTTCAACAGGTTGGCCAGGCTGGTTCATCATGCTTTAAATACATCTACACATATTCCAGTAACCATGAATTATGGTTAGTCAATAACTGCATGTCAACGCTTTCTAATGACTCCTTTGTAGGATAACTAAAAAGTTATCATTCCCAGGTTTCATCTCACCATCCCTTCAAAGTCTTCTTACTTCCATCTCATCTACCGTGAATGTCCTCAGCCTGCCATCACTGCTGGCCAATGCCCTGAGTAGTTCAACAATACTTTTTATTGTTGTTGTTTGAGACAGGGTCTTACTCTATCACCCAGGCTGGAGTGCAGTAGCGTGATCACAGGTCACTGCAGCCTCGACTTCCAAGGCTCAGGCAATCCTCCCACCTCAGCCTCCTGAGTAGCTGGGACTACAAGCATGCACCACCATGCCTGGCTAATTTTTAAAATATTTATTTTATTTTATTTGAGATGGAGTCTCATTCTGTCACCTAGGCTGGAGTGCAGTGGTACAATCTCGGCTCACTGCAACCTCTGCCTCTCGGGTTCAAGCAATTCTCCTGCCTCTGTCTCCCAAGTAACTGGGATTACAGGCACGCACCAACACGCCAGGCTAATTTTTGTATTTTCAGTAGAGACGGCGTTTCACCACGTTGGTCAGGCTAGTCTCGAACTCCTGACCTCGTGATCAGCCTGCCTTGGCCTCCTAAAGTGTTGGGATTACAGGCGTGAGCCACCACGCCTGGGCTTAAAATATTTATTAGAGATGAGGTCTCGCTTTGTTGCCCAGGCTGGTTAGCAACACTTTTTAGAATCCTCCTTTCCACGAGCAGTTTTACAGCCTTAGACTAAATGCCAGTGTCCTAACTATGGGCTGCAATAGAACCTTAGATATGTTCAGTGTCACTGCTGGTATTACAGTTCTAAGTTTGAATGTTATATTGTAAGATGGGAATAATGAAACTGTTGTTAGTTATAGCAAAAATTGTTTGAGTTTATTATATTCTCCATTTCTAAGTGAGCAGTATTTGGAGTAAGATAAGCTGAATTTTGTGAACATCAAGTAAAGATTTTTTATTTATCCTTTAGGCAGAGAGCACAATTTTAACACCTATAGTGACAGCGTATCAGATTCCCTGAACGTTCCCTATGATTACACTTCAGTAATGCACTACAGTAAAACTGCATTCCAAAACGGAACAGAGCCGACAATTGTCACAAGAATCTCAGACTTCGAGGATGTGATCGGCCAACGAATGGATTTCAGTGACTCTGATCTCCTAAAGTTGAATCGACTGTATAACTGCTGTATGTGACAGGTTCTTTGAAATGACTTGTATTTCCCTCTGTTATGTAGGAAAAAATGATGGTCTGTGCCATTTCTTCGAGCACCGGTGGGGTTTCTGAGATTATGGAGACTTGATATTCAGGAAGTGAATAGAATAGTACTCAGATCTCAATCTACACCTTGGAAGCAGCATTTTTCTTTTCACCACGTCTGGTGTTGAGATCTAAAAACAAATTGGGTCCTGTAGGAATATGCCTCAGGCAGGTTTTTAAAGCTGTTACTAATTCAAACATGGGTAAGACTGATACTCACACTTCCTTTTAGCTAGAATGATATGTCTAGTTGTAATATGAATGGGATCAAATAAACTGGATTGTGGCTTAATGATTCCAATAACTAGGGGAGTGTAGACTCAGATTTCTACAAATTAGATAATTTTTTAAAAAAAGATGGGGCAGGGAGCTTATTCAGATGTGCAGAATTCATTACCTTCTTTGCAGGGGTTCTGCAAATAAAGAGGGATCTTTGAGCCACCATCACCCAGAATCAGCCAGGTGTTCCCTGTAATACCAACCTGGCATTTCTAATACTGTGATAAGTTCAGTTTTTGTTACTTAGATTATCATGTTGTATGAGTGTCAATAATTGTTTTTTTGCTTTTGTAGCCTCTTCCTTGAGTTTTATGGACTCGTGCAGTTTTGAACTGGAAAATGTGTGTGGCATGATCCAAAGTTCAGGAGATAATGCTGACTGGCAACGGGTTTCACAGGTTCCCAGGGGGCCAGAGAATGATCACTCCAACATGGGCCAGTGCCAAGGTAACAGGAGTGAGATACTCCTAGATTGTATACTCAGTGGCTACAGCCACGTTCTTCTCTATGAAAGACTGGGATTTTATCTCTAATTTCTATCAGAATAATTAATGATTATTCATTAGGTGACTACTGAGAAGTAGGTCTTGCACCTGATAAAGACATTGTTAATTGCTTTTCCTTCTGTGTTTATTTTTCTTTCTACAAGTCAGAGCTGGGCTCTGTGATGCCTCTACCAGTGCGTTCCCATAGGAGAGCATACCAGAGTGGGCCTCCTGCAAGGCCTTTTATCTCAGGGGCAGTACTACTGTTTTCTAGAAGTTTGCAGAATACAAGAGACTCTTCCCAATGGACAGCACTAGGCTGTGAATTATTGTTTCAGAACTGTAGCTGGATGTGATTATATGCTCCTGTTACAAAAATATCTAAAAAGCACCATTTATTTAATTTTCTTCAGATGCATATCCTTTTCCATTTTCATTTTGTTTTGCCTTAAGTAGCTATTTGGCTACAAGGACCACATTTTTACTTATTTGCTTATTCTGGCAACAAATATGTAAAACTAGACTTCAGAACTTAGGGCCAGTGCTTAATAATAATAGCTCAGATGATCTAGGCAGGAATTGGAGGCCTTCAATGGCAAAAAGGTGCTTTTCCTTTTATTTTTCTTTTTAAATGCATATTTGGATAGCAGATAGTGGTCCTCCTCAGACCAGAGGAAAGTAGATAGGGAGGGAGGGAGGAAAGGAAGAAGAATCCAGACCAGGCAGCTCTCACTTTTTTCTGTTTTTGAAAGCTAATTTCTGTAGTAAGGGAAAGGTTCCCTAACGTTGTGTCTTTCAGAAATTGCCTGCTCCTAGAACCATATTTAAATGCCCAACACAATTCCCTGCATATAGTGGAAACTAAGCAAATACTTGAAATAAGGTAAAGAAAATTGGGCCGGGTACAGTGGCTCATGCCTGTAATCTCAGGCCTTTGGGAGGCCAAGGTGGGTGGATCACCTGAGGTTGGGAGTTTGAGACCAGCTGGGCCAACATGGTAAGACCCCATCTCTACTAAATATGCAAAAATTAGCTGGGTGTGGTGGCGCATGCCTGTAGTCCCAGCTAGTTGCAGGACTGAGGCAGGAGAATCACTTGAACCCGGGAAGCAGAGGTTGTAGTGAGCTGAGATAGTACCATTGCATTCTAGCCTGGACAACGGAGTAAGACATTGCCTCAAAAAAAAAAAAAAAAAAAAAAAAAAGGAAACAAAATATATATACATTCAAACCAGAATCACTAGCTCTGCCTTCTTTAGAGATGGCTTGGAAGATTAAGTATTGCAGATAATGAAAGCAGAGAACTGGGAGGTGCCTCTGAAATTATCAGGTTCAGTTATTCTCTATTTTTTCATTACAAATATCATTTAAAAAATATTAAAATGTGAATCTCCCCAGATGGTTGCTGTAGTTACAGTATCTTCTGAGAGCTGAATTTCTTTCTTTCTTTTCTTTTTTTCTTCCTTCTTTTTTGGTGACAGTTTGAAGCCAAAGAAGTTAGAAAGTGTTTTTTAAAAAAAGGGGGCAGTCGGCCGGGTGCGGTGGCTCAAGCCTGTAATCCCAGCACTTTGGGAGGCCGAGACGGGCGGATCAAGAGGTCAGGAGATCGAGACCATCCTGGCTAACACGGTGAAACCCCGTCTCTACTAAAAATACAAAAAAAAACTAGCCGGGCGAGGTGGCGGGCGCCTGTAGTCCCAGCTACTCGGAAGGCTGAGGCCGGAGAATGGCGTGAACCCGGGAGGCGGAGCTTGCAGTGAGCTGAGATCCGGCCACTGCACTCCAGCCTGGGCGACAGAGCGAGACTCCGCCTCAAAAAAAAAAAAAAAAAAGGGGGCAGCCAAGGCCCTGGTTTCCTGGCTGGGCTCTCGCTCCTGTCCGCATTGTGTGTTCACCTCTCCAGAAAGACCTAGAAGTTGACGCTGAATTAGCCTTGGGAAACACAGATGCTACAACTCTCTACCCACCCAAGTTTCAAACCCTCTTTTTGACTTAATTTCCATTTTCCTTTTTCATATTCTTAGAGGGGAACAACCCTCTGTAGCATCTTTTTCCAGTGGTAGCTCTTCCCACTTGGAGCTGGACCAGGGTCGCAGACACTTGAAAGGTGTCCTGTGTAGACTCTACCTTTTAGCCCTGCTGTTTGGTCTTGACCTGCAGCCTTACAGTGGATTTTTAAAAAATTAGCATTTGATACTTAAACTTGCTGTATCTTTTTATTTTTTTTTTTTTTTTTTTTTTTTTTTTTTTTTTTTTTTTTTTTTTTTTTTTTTTTGAGACGGAGTCTCGCTCTGTCGCCCAGGCTGGAGTGCAGTGGCCGGATCTCAGCTCACTGCAAGCTCCGCCTCCCGGGTTCACGCCATTCTCCCGCCTCAGCCTCCCGAGTAGCTGGGACTACAGGCGCCTGCCACCTCGCCCGGCTAAGTTTTTGTATTTTTAAACTTGCTGTATCTTTATAGCTCATAACAAACGAAGATAAGCAAGGATTAGTGCCCACGGAAAACTACTATTGTAAGTAAACGTCTTATAAATAATAGAGAAGTTTGAGTTTTATACTGTTATGTCAATCTGCTAGCTTTTGCAAGTGCCAGATACGTAGCTTAGGCTTCAGTCGTTTCTCCCTGGCGATTTACATATGGATGTTACTTACGCCTCGTGTAAAGAATCTAGCACCACTATTAACAAACACACATTTCCATACCCAGTATCTGTTTTCTCTCAATTCTGCTTTTCCTTAACAGGTTCTGGTTTCTTCATGCATTTTGATAGCAGCTCTGTAAATGTGGGGGCCACAGCAGTGCTGGAAAGTAGAACGCTGTACCCTAAAAGAGGATTTCAGTGCTTGCAATTTTACTTATATAACAGTGGCAGTGAAAGTGATCAACTGAACATCTACATCAGGGAGTATTCTACAGACAATGTGGATGGCAATTTAACTCTTGTGGAAGAAATAAAAGGTACAATGTCAACATTCTTATTGTTTGGATTCAAAGTGAGGCAATCTTAGGTCTTTTCTTTAGTTAATGCAACAATTTACAATAGGGCAGGGGCTACTGAGTCACTACCCTTCAACTAAGAACTAGATTCTTCTTGTTTTAAGTGGTGGCAAGGAAGCTAGAATGAAGACTCTTTCTGAGTGCTCTGTTATGTGACACTCACTTAAGAAACTGTAGATCAGTCTCTGGCACTATGGAGGTCAGTTCTTGGCAAATAATAAAAATACAAAGCCGGGTGCAGTGGCTCACAGCTGTAATTCCAGCACTTTGGGAGGCCAAGGCAGTCGGATCACCTGAGGTCATGAGTTCGAGACCAGACTGGTCAATATATAGTGAAACCTTGTCTCTACTGAAAAAATACATAAATTAGCTGGGAGTGGTGGCACACGCCTGTAGTCCCAGCTACTTGGGAAGCTGAGGAAGGAGAATTGCTTGAACCCGGGAGGCGGAGGTGGCAGTGAGCTGAGATCACGCCTCTGCACTCCAGCCTGTGCGACACAGCAAGACTCTATCTCTGAAAAAATAGATAAAATAAAATAAAATAAAATACCTAAAAATACGATGTGAACTAGCTTAGGCAAAATAGGACAGGCTCCTGGCTGAAGGGTAGTTACAGCCTGTGGGACAGATGAGGGAGACACCGGCTTGAGGGGGAATTATTAATAGCTCTGTCTCTGAACATTGCTGGGCACCTCTTGTTTTACCTCAGAATGGCTTTCTTTATAGGACTGGTACTTTGGTTGTTTCACTTCCCAGCTTACATTTGACCAAATTTGCTATCAGTCTGGAAAAAGGACTCTTCCCCTAATATAAAGCTTAGAAAATAAATCCCAGTGAAGAACTGGGATGCTTATGACTTCAGTCAAACACAGCCTCTGGAGCAATTCCTGAGTGGGAAGTGAGTACCCACCCTTCTTACCAACAATATGTCGGAGAGGAGAGCCATGTTGAGCACCTATGCAAGTAGATGGTTAAGGGGGTGACTGAGAAAGGGAGGGGCTGTGGGCTGGCAGATATATTACTGTCTATTCCACTTAATCATCTCCTGGCTTGAATGAATTGAGTAATTCAATTTGTTCTACAATTGGATCCATATTATGCAATATAGTATGCCATTTTCCTCCTGTTTTTAACAAGGAGAAACAATCTGAAATACAGGTGATATTTTTCTTTGTGAACACCTATAAGCAGTGAGGTTTTTAAGCTCACTAAGAATATACACATATTATACATATATATTATTCATGTAACAAAATAAAATATAAAGTATAATTATATATAATATGTATTATATATTAAATATATAAAAGTCATATATAAGCCATATGTTACTATAAATATTATATATTATGTATTAATATATAAATTAATATAAATATTGATATAATGTATCTATAATATATATAATTGTCCAGGATTGGAAGGGGGATCCTTTCTATTAGCAATCTGTGGGTGTGTCATTGATACACAATAACACAAAAAGGCACTTAAGAAACTTCCTTATTTTCTGTCATTTGGGTATGTCTAACTTATTTTCAAGTAGCTGTGTTTCACATTAAGCACCAACATATTTTTGTTTTAAGACTTTGTGTTAACCACTAGTTTGACATGAATTTCTCAGCTGCTGTCCATCTGGGGGTTTCTGCAGATTATTTAGTATACTGCTTCTTATTTGAGTATGTGATATAAGAAAATCAGACAAAATGGCATATCATGTGCTGCTAGCGAGGGTTATGGGCTAATAGTTGGGGAGGGAGTGCAGGTTGGAAAGAAAGAAGGTGGTACCAAATATCAGATAAATACTTACAATGCTGAGTCACTGGGAAGTAATCTAAAGAGTAGATTGCGGGATGTGGGCTTTCCAGGGTTTGGTGGATTTTGTTTAATATTACCAAAAGGTTGATTGAAGATTTTGTATGTGAGGGAAGTATTCCAATCAAACCATAAATATATTAAAGAAGGCTTTGCCTGAGTATTACAGGAATCTTGGGTAGAAGTATTACGAGTATTGGGCTTGCTGGCTGTTTAACAATGGAGAATGCCAGGTAACTCACAGGTAGGGCATGAAGTACTCACGAGCTAGATGTTGTTATTTACTCTCTGATCTCTAGGAAAGGGTGATCTATTTGAGAAACAGCTAGACAAATATTCAGCTATTCCAGAGAACAGTGTGACCCCATAGAAGCACCTTTAAGTAAATAATTCTAGGCTGGAGCTTTGGCAAAACCATACTTCTGACCCATAGAAATAAATCGGTTTTGGATGATCCTTTGTCTAAGAAGGCTAGAAATCTAATGTTGACATGTACATAATTTAAACTTCTTTGTCTTTGAAATAATAATAACTCTTTTGCAGAAATACCCATTGGGAGCTGGCAACTTTATCATGTAACATTGAAAGTGACCAAGAAGTTTAGAGTGGTGTTTGAAGGACGCAAAGGCTCTGGCACATCACTGGGTGGTCTGTCTATTGATGACATCAATCTTTCGGAAACACGGTGCCCTCATCATATCTGGCATATAAGGAATTTCACACAGTTCATTGGCAGCCCAAATGGAACTTTGTATAGCCCTCCATTTTACTCTTCTAAAGGTTATGCCTTTCAGATTTACTTAAATCTAGCCCATGTGACTAATGCAGGGATATATTTCCACTTGATCTCTGGAGCCAATGATGATCAATTACAGTGGCCATGTCCTTGGCAACAAGCCACAATGACACTTTTGGATCAAAATCCTGACATTCGACAGCGTATGTCCAATCAGCGGAGTATAACTACGGACCCATTTATGACCACCGGTTCGTAACTCATTTTCTTTATTGCTAATAAACAATCATTGCTCTAGGAGGGATGGATAATTTTGGGAATGAGAGATTGCACAGTTAGTTACCTAGGGAAATTTGAGTCCCAAATCTTAAGAACAGATATTTAGGAGAAAGGTTTCAAGAATTGTGGACAGAGTCTTTCAGGCAGGAGCTCATCAGAAATGTCAGCAAGGACTCCAACAAATAAAGAAGATACTGACTGTATTCCTGGGAACTGATGGCCCTTCTCAGATTTCCACTTCTGTGCAAGAAGTGTTGGTTTTAGAGTCTGACATGCCTGAGTTCAAGTCCAAGGTTTGCTTCTCATTAGCTATGTGACCTTGAGCAAATAATCTCTTAGGGTCCCAGTGTCCTCAACTGTAAAGCCAGGGCTGTAGTAACCATTCCACAGATTTGCTATGAGAATTAGTACAGGTCAAGTGTGGAAGCTGTGGAAAGGCCTGCAGTGGAGAGGCCCTCAGATGTTGGGTTTTTCTAACTCATGCTACCTTGTTCACGTCACTGGGAATGTCAAAAATAATTCAGCGTTGGAAATGGGGGTAGTTTTTGACCAGAAGGAAGGTATTGAGCAGGTGCATTCAAGTGTTGGTGGGAAGGGTGTGAGAATACATTATAATTTCTTAGTAAAAAGTTACAGAGGATTTGCTAATCGTGACATCATTCCCCATCTTTCCCATCTCAAAAAGAAGTAACCCACTGAAAGCAATGATCACACTTCTAATTTTAATAACTCTTTGCTTCTGAGACCCTCATAAAGGAAAACAATGAAATTATGGCAAGCTGAATATTTTTGCCAAATGTGAATTCTGTATATGAAAAACATGGACCAAATTGGCATAGAAAAAATCCAACTTAATCTCATAGGAAAACAATAATATTCACCAATGGAATTGTAGGGACTTGACATTCAGAATTTTTTCACTTTTTCTTAAAGTGTTTCTTCCTGAATGACATTAAAAGCAGCTCAGGGCTGGGTAGGTCATTATCTTTCCCCAGAAGCAGTACTTCTTCTTGTCTTCTACTTCTGAAGCACTTTGCTTGTTAGGTGGATAATTCAGTTAATAAGATAAATCATTCTATGCTGATATTAAAAACTCTCTCAGCAATATATTGCTTTAACTGGACAAACTGTAACTTTGTAAAAGGACTCTCTTAGTAGCCTTAGGCTACTAAGAAATTATTCTAATAGATAGGAGGGTTTCTATACCGTTCAATAAGTAGAGATATGATATTCCCAGGAATATCTGGCACCTAGGAAACTTCTGGTACCTCTCCACTCTTATTCTACAGTGTGGTCCTCCCTGCCAGGTAATTTCATTTCCTCTAGGACAGTATAAATGAACAAGCCCCAGCGATTTGCCAGGGAATACATCACAGGCCAATAGCATCATTTAATTATTTTGAGCTCCAGCCTAATTGTGTTTCACATTGCCTGTTCTTTCCTACCACCAAAAGCTACGATGATGATAAACACACTCCATTAATATAAATTGCTTTTTCAGGTAATGGAAGCTATTTTTGGGACAGGCCTTCCAAAGTGGGAGCAGTGGCTGTTTTCCCTAATGGAACTCAGTTTAGAAGAGGTGGTGGCTATGGCACCAGTGCCTTTATAACCCATGAGAGGCTGAAAAGCAGAGATTTTATAAAAGGAGATGATGTTTATATCCTACTGACAGTGGAAGGTATGTCAATAAAAATAGTTTTATATAAGCTAGTTTTTTGTTGTGGCCACTGATTATCTTCTGTTTATTTCTGCATTCCATTTTTAGGTGTATTATGTAGAGATGTGGGGGGAAATGGGCATGAGTGGGGTGTGAGGGGAACATGAATTATTGACAACATGAAAATAATTTAATTTGAAACAGTAAGGACTCCAGAATAAAGAATTTAATGACTACCACATGAAGCTATAGTGGAAATCTTTAGGTTGGGAAATTTCTTTAGAAATAAATTAAAATAGAACAATTATACTCTAGGATTCCCGAAATAAAAATATCACATCAGCACATGAAATGATTGGAAACGGCTGTGTCTTATCTGTTTCAAATGTACATACATGCATACATATATACACACACACACACATATATATATTGGCAGAAATGATATTAATCTCTTGTTAGATTAATGTTAAATTTCTTACTCCTGCAGCCAATAAATACATTTTGCAGCAATTCTGGTGGTTTTCATTTTTTATGTGGTAGGATTTTAACTCATTTTCTATTAAAGACCCACTTGGATCTCAGTAAATCAGATTGTTGTTTGTGATGAAAGGTGGTGCAATTAAAACCCACAAAAATTTGACTCCAGTGTCCATTAGAGTAAATCTAGATGATACCTCTTGGAGAAATTATTCAGAAATAACTTTTGTTAAGAGAGAAAACATTTTATGTAGCAGAGAAAAAAAATCAGATATGCATCAGTTCTCTTTGACCATAGCGATTTCAACCAGAAGCAATAATATGCTGCAGAGAGCATAACACTATTTGTCAGGGCACTTGGTGTCTTTCTCCAAGTCTCCACCAACTTGCTCTACCAAGCCAGAGACCTCTGACCTTGGGCAATGCCCTCAATTACTTTACATTTCTGAGTTTTGGTTTCCTTATCTGTCTCTTGAAAGTTGGCATCAGGGGCTTGTACCCTTCTGGGCTCCCACAATCCAGGCCAGCATGTGGTTGAGTTGGAGCCCCCGCAGACTGGCCTAGTTTCCCTTTGCCTAGTTCTTATCTCGCTGCCTATATCAATGTTGCTAGACTGTGCTTCAAGGTTACCTGAATTTCTCATAAGCCTAAAATCTGATCATTGTCTATTTTGAAACTTAAGATTGGGCTTGGCATGATGGCTCACACCTACAGTCCCAGGACTCTGAGGCTGAAGTGGAAAGAATGTCTGAGCCCGGGAGCAAAGACCAGCCTGGGCAACATTACAAGATCCCACCTCTAAAAAAAAAAAAAAAAAAAAAAAAAAAAAGAAAGAAAAAAAAGAGACATTAAAAGAAAAAGAAACTTAAAGATCAAATGATTGTTAAACAAAAGCTGATTTCCATCCACACTCTTCCTCATCTTTCTAGACATATCTCACCTCAACTCTACGCAAATCCAGGCAACACCAACCCCTAGTGTCCAAGAACTCTGCTCAAAAACCACCTGTGAAAATGATGGTGTCTGCACTGTTCGAGATGGCAAAGCTGAGTGCAGGTAAGGATCATTTGGAAGAGATCTCTCCATTCTTTGGTTAGAAATTTTACTCCCATAATGTAGGATTAAATACTTGATAGTTCTTATGAATGAAATCAGTTGATTCCCATCTCAAAGTCATTCATAGAATTTTTTGTGTTGTTGTCCTCCTTTTGGGGCTTTGGATAACCACAAAAACTATCTTTGTGACAGCCAACACAATTTTTTATGAAAAAAATATTACACTATATTCTAATTGTCTGAAAAAGTCCTCACAACAGTCCAGTCATTTTAAGTGTAGCTGCCTCCATTTCCTAGATGAAGATACTGACGTTCTGAGGAGCCCTTGGCCAAGATGTGAAGCTGGAGGGTGGTGGGCATGGGACGCTGAGAACTAAACTTTCTCTATTACCTGTGCTAACAGCCTTTCCTAACTTGCAGATGCTGTTTTAGTATCAGATTAGGAGGAATTCCATTTTTTCTTTCCATTGCTTACACCTGTGCTCTAGGTGCTTGTCTCTCTCCAGTCCAGAGTGGGTAAAATAGTTCCATATAGCAGTGACCTATTGGTGATCAAATAGACTAAAGGTGATCCACATCTTTAACTGTGAAGATTTCTGGAGTTACATATCAACTCATAACTCTGAGTCACACTCTCAATGTGCAGGTGCCCGTCAGGGGAAGACTGGTGGTACATGGGAGAAAGGTGTGAAAAGAGAGGCTCTACCCGAGACACCATCGTCATTGCCGTTTCCTCTACTGTCGCTGTGTTCGCCTTGATGCTCATCATCACTCTTGTCAGTGTCTATTGCACCAGGAAGAAATATCGTGAAAGGATGAGTTCAAATGGACCAAATTTGACTCTGCAAAATGTAAGTTGAGGCTGATGTTTGATTATTCACAACCTATTGGTGAAATCTTATGGAGAGGAACTAGGACATTTTTGACATACTTTGGTTCTTGCCTTCTTCTCTTTGTTTCCTATGCTGGGACAACTGATTTCAGACTATAAAAGTTCCTATTACTTTCACTGTAAATCAACAATTCTTAAATTGGGATTTATGGAGGTTCATTATCCTCCTGGAATTGTATACAACATTGTGTACAGTTGTGTGTAGGGGTTTTTTCCTGGAGTGTGGTGTGGTCTGTGACCTGAAAGGCACAATTGATTTTGCCTGCAAGTTCAAACCTTCCTGGTAAAGTGGAGAGGTGGCCTGCAAGTGTTTTTGTTCTAAAGGCTTTAGAGTGGTGCTGAGCTGAGGCCCGTAGGAGGGGGATGCAGGCATGTTTGGGGAAGCTTTTGCATTAAAGAAGGTTCCAGTTCATTCTGGCTTCACGTGGAATAACTAATTCTAAGGCAGGTTTTCAAGTAAAGGATTTAGTCTTCCCTCAAAAAATCTCTAAAATGTGAATAGACTCCTGAAACGACCCTGTTTCCAGTGGGTCCCTTGGGAAGCTGACTCTGAGATGGATATTTGTACACAGGAGGTTGATTGGGAGGGCTCCTGGAACACATATAATAGGCCGAGGGAGCTGGCCTGGCAGAGGGTGAGGTTAGACTGTGATGTGGTTGCAGCTGAGGCCTTAGCCCATCCTCCAGGGAGCTCTGGAGTGGGGATGATTCCTTCTTAGGCACATCCTGAATCAAGGGAGGGGGCCAGGCCTTTGTACTCCCATCGCTGGAATGGGGCTGCCCCCAAAGAGGGGCATAAAATTGGACAAGGCAACGGCCTTTGGGGGAGGGCATTTCTTGCATGACAGCCTTCATTCAAAGGACAGGACCAAGCAGCAGTGCCCTAGCATCCACTACATACTCCAGCAGTAGAGCACAGAGTTTTACATGCCGATTCATATTCTTCCTCGCAAAGGAGCACAGAGAAAGTGGCATGAAATCTGAACATTACCTAAAAATGAAGCCCTAAAATTCTTCCAGTTCTAGTTCATTCCAATTGGAGTCTCTGAAAATTGCTACTGAAGCCAGTCAGAAAACATGCCCAATTAGAATATCTCCAAAAATAAAAATACCGCAATTGGCTAAAGCAAGAGTACATTTTCTTAAGAAAAACGATTATTCAAGACATACTATATTTAAAGTTTTGAGTTTTTAAAGGGGACAGACGGGTATCAAGATATTATTATTTATATCAAGATATAAAATAATAAAAACATGTTTGACCAGTCAAAACCTGGACAATGATAATGAACTGAAAGGAAATCGTTGTATTATCGTAGGCTGTTGTCCTATTTCCTCAACATCAGGAAGATGTTTAATGCTAATAATATGGCAATAGATCAATTACCTCACAAAACTATTACAAAAGTGCTTAAAATATAAACAGATTGTTTTGTTTTAAGACAACTTTCAGCTTATTTTATGACTCAAAATAAAAGGGAAAAATCAGCGAATACTTGGCCTGGTATGTCAACCTGATGGCAGCTGTGCCTGCAAGTTCGGTCTCCTGGGCCATTGGGATGAGCCAGAAGTTGGTGCATGGAAGGTGGAACAGTGGCAGGGCAGGAGGGGACAAGTTAACTGGGTGGATGGGATTGCCAGGGTATTTCCTTGACAATGGGAAGTGTAACAGCTGTTATAAGGACTCTAACTTAGCAAGTAAAAATTGGAAGGAGTTAAAGAAAAGTAACAAAACCAAAGAGAAGAGACAGAAGGAAACTAAGTCAATAAAGTGGGGAAACCATGAGAGTATCAGGGACATGGTAAGGATAGTAAGTGGAAACACACACATGCACACACACACACTCCATAATATTACAACAGAACTATTTTGTGTCTGGGTCATTTAAACACATTCCCAAGGACAAGGCAGTTGACTTACATTATCTTAGGCTAGGCATTTCTACAGTTAATTCACTGATAACAGATCTCACAGATGTTGTTTAGATCTTAAATCAGAATGACCTTTTTTTCTGAGGCAAATGTATGTGTTCACCATAATGTTTTAGCATCTGAATAATGTGGGCTCAGAAAGCCAGGGCTGTAAATGGAGACCAGGAGCAGGAGCCATTGCCAGCTAGGAGGGAGGCCAGGAGACTACTGATGGGGACTTCATTTAAAGACTAGATCGTTTTCTTGTGATTCATTTAAATAACAGTTTTTAAATTTAGAAATTAAATCATCAATTGTTCTTTCCTCTTTTAGCAGCATGGTTTTTGAAGATTAACTCGACAATACGGCCAGCAAATGAAATTAAAAAGGATTCTTCGTCATGGATTCGCCTAAGAGATATTACAACCGCCTCATTCTTCTAAAAATGGATCTTTTTCTGTAAATAGCTGGAAATACTATAAATCACTATTTTGGTCAAAGTCAATTTGGTGAAATACTGTTTGTGTTTCCTTCTTTTAAATGAGAGAAAAGCAATTCAGGCTCTTCTGAAAGTATAATATTGTCTAGAAAAAAGGGAGAGCAACAGTTAGAGATTGCTTTTCAAATTACTGATCCTTCCATATGGGGGCCACGTGTGGTGTCCTCACAAGTGATTCCTTAGAAACCCACTAGAAACACCCAGTGGGAATGATCCTCCATGCGGAATTGCAGCAGTGTCAGTGCCATCCTTTCCCAGTATTGGGAAGGGTAATGGGATAGCTCCCCACTCTCTGTTAATATACATTCTTCTCCACAACCGGCTACTCTCTTGTTTTCTTATATAGTCCCTATGGTACATGAGCTTGGTTTAGAATTTGATTGAGCAAATGACTATAATCAGCAAGAAAACCTTTCACTCTTTGAGTGGCAAGTCTCAAAGATTTTGGGTCTCAGGAGTCTTTACATTTTAAAAATTACTGAAGATCTCAAATAGATTACTGAGGATCTCAAATAGATTACTCAGGAATCTTCACATTTTAAAAATTACTGAGGATCTCAAATAGATTATTCAGGAATCTTCACATTTTAAAAATTACTGAGGATCTCAAACAGATTACTGAGGATCTCAAATAGATTATTCAGGAATCTTCACATTTTAAAAATTACTGAGGATCTCAAATAGATTACCGAGGATCTATTTTGCTTACAAGCAGCTCATTGATTTAAATAAGTGTTTATTAGAAATTCAAACCAGGAAAAATTTAATGTATTTATTAATCACAAAAAATAAGCCCCTTCTATACTAACATAAATATTTTTATGAAAAATAGCTGTATTTTTCAAAACACGAGAATATTTAGCAAAGAGAGGGGCACTGGTTTACATTTTCTGGGAAAATCTCTAATGCCTAGCTCAATAGAAGACAGCTGAGTTTTCACAGATGCTTCTGCATTTATTCTGTTGTGATATATTAATTTGTTTGAAGGATGTGAAGAAAATCTAACCTCACACAAATATGTTCTTGGAAAAGGAAGGCATATTTGAATAGCTTTCTCAGGTAAATATGAATATTCTTTTGAAATAATTTTGTTAAAAGTTGACAATGGTAACTTCTTAAAGGTTAGTTGCAATCAAAATCCGAAACCGTATCAAGGAACTTTTGTATTCTGTCCTGTAAAATCCATTAGTCTATCTTGTATTTTGAGTCTTTCAGCTATGTCTGATTTTGCAATACTGTGCATTGATAATTTAGAAAATATTGGTTCACTGAGTTATACAGCTCTTACAACATTTGACACATTTCATTATACGGTATGAAAACAACATTAGTTAATTGCACTACTGATCTCATTTTAAAGTCTTTCATGCTTGTAGCCCCAGCATTTTGGGAGGCCGAGGCAGGTGGATCACTTTAGTCCGGGAGTTCGAGACCAGACTGGACAACACAGGGAGACTCTGTCTCTCTCTATATAAAAAAATTATCTGGGCATGTTGGCACGTGCTTGTGGTCCCAGCTACTTGGGAGGCTGAGGTATGAGGATTGCTTGGACCCAGAAGGTCAGGCTGCAGTGAGCTGTGATTGCACCACTGTACTCCAGCCTGGTGGACAGAGTAAGACTCCATGTCAAAATAAATAAGTAAAAACATGACTAAAAACCCCCAAATTATATATATATATATAAAATATATATAAAAGTAAGTCTTGGGAAATTGTTAGGCTCATGGTGGCAGAAACAAATTTTCCAAAATTTTAACTTTTGTTTGAAATATTAAATTTTATCATTGGCAATAAATCCCATCTTTCTTGTAGCATCAGGCTCACTTTACTCAATTTTTTAAATTCAAATTTTATTTAGAGATAATTGTAGTCACACACAGTAATAAAAAATAATTCAGAGAGATCCATCTACCCTTCACTCAGTTTCCCCTAATGGTAACATCTTGCAGAACTATATACACTACAATGGCATAATCAGGATATTGACATTGATACAATCAAGACACAGAACATTTCCATCATCACAGGAATCCCTAAAGTTGCCTTTATAGAGCCACATCCATTTCTCTCTTCTCCCACCTCCTGTTTATCCTCCGGCAACTGTTAATATGTTCTCTATATCATTTTGTTATTTTTAAAACATTCTATTAATAGAACCATTCAGTGTGGCACATTTTGGGATTTGCTTCCCTCTGCCCTCTCAACTTAATTCTTTGCAGATTCATCCAGGTTATCATGCCCATCAGCAGTTTGTTTCTTTTCACTGGTGTTGTCCATGATATGGATGGACTAAAGGTTGTTGAATAATTCATTGTTGAAGGACATCTGGGTTGTTACCAGCTTTTTGTCTATTACAAATAAAGCTGTTATAAATGTTTGTGTGCAAGTTTTTGAGTCTTCATTTCTCTGGGATATTGCATGGTTAGTTTTTAAATAAACTACCAAAATGATTTGCAGAGCACTATACCCTTTTGCATTCCCACCCGCAATAGATGCATGATCCAGTTTCTCTGCATTTTCTCCAGTTCTTGGTGGTGTCATGATTTTTTAAAAATAGAGTTTATTTTTTAGAGCAGTTTTAGATGCACAATGAAACTGAACAAAAGTACATATACCTCTGTTCCCACAGATACACAGCCTCCCCAACTATCAACATCCTGCACCAGAGTGGTACATTTGCTACAACTGATGAACCTTCATTGACACATCAATTTCACTGAAAAGTCCATCATTTGCATTAGGCTCATTCTTGGAGATGTACAATCTGTAGGTTTGACAAGTGTATAATAACGTGTATCCACCATGGTAGTATCATGCAAAATAGTTTCACTTCCCTAAAAATCCTCTATACTGTGCCCATTCATCCTTCCCTCCCCACCAACCACTGGTAACCACTGAGTCTTACTGTCTTCATAGTTTCGTCTTTTCTAAAATATCGTAGAGTTGGGATGATATGGTATGTAGCCTTTTTAGATGCACCTTTTTCACTTATCATCAGTATTTTTTATTTTAGTCATTCTGATAAATATGCGGTGATATTGCGTGATTTTCATTTGCAGTTCCTAATAGCTAATAATATTGAACCTATTTTCATGTGTTTATTTCCCATCTGCATATTCTCTTGAGTGAAATATCTCTTCATGTCTTTTGCTCATGCTCTAATCATCTAATTAGATTTTTTTGTTCTTTTTTTTTTTTTTTTTTTTTTGAGACAGTCTCACTCTGTCACCCAGGTTAGAGTGCAGTGGTGCGATCTTGGCTCACTGCAACTTCTGCCTCCCAGATGCACGTGATTCTCAACCTCAGCCTCTTCAGTAGCTGGGATTACAGGGGTGAGCCACCACTCCTGGCCCCAAGCTTTTTTGTTCTTACATTATTGTATTTTGAGAGTTCTTTACATATTCTATATACCATTCCTTTGTCAGATATGTCATTTAGAAATACATTTTCCCACTCTGTAGCTTGTCTTTTTATCTCTTAACAAGGTGTTTAGCAGAGCAAAAGTTTTAAATTTTGATGAAATCCAATTTATCAATTGTTCCTTTTAATGGATTGAACTTTTGGTGTAAAGCCTAAGAGCCCTCTGCCTAGTCCTACATCCTGAGGATTTTCTCCTATATCTTAAAAAACGTTTTATAATTTTAAGTTTTACATTTAAGTCAGTAATAGAGTTTGAGTTAATTTTTGTATAAGGTGTGAGGTTTGGGTTAAGACTCATTTTTTGGGGGGAGTGGGCTTATGGATGTCCAATTGCTACAGTACTATTTGTTGAAAAGCTATCTTTCCTCTATTGATTTGTTTTTGCATTTTTTGTTTCACATATTTGTGTGGGTCTATTTCTAGATTCTCTATTCTATCTCATTAATCTATGTATCTACTCTTCTACCAATACCATATACTTTTGATTACTATACAGTCTTGATTATATAGTCTTTCTCTGCCAATGCCATACAGTCTTGATCACTACACATATACTATAGCTGTGTTGTAAGTTGTAAAATTGGGTAGACTGATTCCTCCCACTTTATTGTTTTTTTCAAAATTGTTTTAGTTATATTAGTTCCTTTGCTTTTCTATATAAATTTTAGAATAATCTTGTCTATATCTGGAAAAAACTCTCGCTGAGATTTTGACAAGAATTGAGTTAAATCTGAATATCAATTTTGGGGGAATCGACACCTTTTTACTAAGTTGAGTCTTCCAATCCATGAGCACAGTTTCTCTCTCCCTTTCTTATGTTCGTTTTTGAGTTCTTCCTTCAGCATTGTCTAGGTTTCAGCACACAAGTCCTGTGCATGCTCTGTTAGATTTACATCTGTGTGTATCTCATTTTAGGAGAAACGTTTTATTTATTTATTTATTTAGAGACGGAGTCTCACTCTCTGACCCAGGCTGGAGTGCAGTGGTGTGACCTCGGCTCACTGCGACCTCTGCCTCCCAGGTTCAAGTGATTCTCCTGCCTCAGCCTCCTGGGTAGCTGGGATTACAGGCTGGAGTGCAGTGGTGTGATCTCCGCTCACTGTGACCTCTGCCTCCCAGGTTCAAGTGATTCTCCTGCCTCAGCCTCCTGGGTAGTTGGGATTACAGGTGCCTGCCGCCACATCCGGCTAATATTTTTGTATTTTTGTAGAGACGGGGGTTTCACCATGTTGGCCCAGCTGGTCTCAAACTTCAGACCTCAGGTGATCCACCGCCTCTGCCTTCCAAAGTGCTGGGATTACAGGTGTAAGCCACCACGCCCAGCAAGGAAACTATTATTATAAATGCTATCATATTTTAAATTTTGGTGCCCATGTGTTTATTGCTAGTATACAGTAATGTAATTGATTTCTGTATATTGAACTTGTGTCCTGAGCTCACGTAATTCTAGGAGATTTTTTTTTTTTTTTTTGTAGATTCTTTGAGATTTTTTTTACTTAGACAATCATGCTATTCACAAATACGGACGGTTTTGTTTTATTTTTTCTAATCTGTATGCCTTTTATTTCCTTTTCTTGCCTGTTGGACTGACTAGAACTTCCAGAACTACACTGCATAGAGTGATGGAAGTGGACATTCTTGCCTAGTTTTCAGTCTTGGAAAAGCATTCAGCCTTTCATTATTAGGTATAATGTTATCTGTAGGATTTGTATAGATTCTCTTTATCAAGCTGAGAAAGTTCTCTATTTCTGTTTTTCTGGAAATTTTTATCATAAATGAGTGTAGAATTGTTTTAAATGCTTTTTCTGTATCAATCTATATATAAACCATGAGATTTTTCTTCTTTAACTGGTTAATACTGTGGATTACATTGATTGATTCTGAATATTGAACCAACCTTACTCCCTGGAACAAGCCACACTTGGTGATGGCGTGTGATTCTTTTTATGTATTGCTGAATTGTATTTGCTTAAATTTCGTTAAATATTGTTGCCTCTAAACTCATAAGGGATATTGGTCTGTTGGGTTTTCTTTTTGAGACCGAGTCTCCCTCTTGTCGCCCAGGCTGGAGTGCAGTGGCATGATCTTGGCTCACTGCAACCTCTGCCTCCCAGGTTCAAGCAATTCTTGTGCCTCAGCCTCCCAAGTAGCTGCGATTACAGGCATCCACCACCACACCCAGCTAATTTTTGTATTTTTAGTAGAGATGGGGTTTCACCATGTTGGCCAGCCTGGTCTCGCACTCCTGCTCTTGAGGGATCCAGTTGCCTCTGTCTCCCGAAGTGCTGGGATTACAGGCGTGAGCCACAGCACCCAGTCAGGTTTTCTTTTTTGGTATTGTCTTTATCTGGTTTTGATATCTGGATACTACTAGCTTCTTAAAATGAACTGGAAAATGTTGCCTCCTCTTCTATTTTGTTGGGGGAGAGAGAAGAGATTGTGTAGAATTGGTGTTAATTCTTTGAATATTTAGTAGAATTTTCAGTAAAACCATTTGGGCCTGGAATTTCTTTTGGGGGAGTTTTAAAATTATGAATTCAATCTCTTTTTAAAATAGTTACAGGGCTAGTCAAATTATCTATTTCATATTTCATGAAGGTTATAGTGGCTGTTTTTCAAAAAATTTGATCAACTTCTTCAAAGCTGTCCAAGTTATGTGTGTATTGTTATTTGTAGTATTTTGAGTATATACCTTGGAGTGGAATTGCTGGGCCATATGGTAATTTTGTGTTAACTTTCTAAAGAGCCATCAAATTATTTTCCATAGCAGCTGAACCATTTTACATTCACACCATCAATGTGTGAGAGTTCCAAATTCACCATATTCTTTCCAATATTACTTTCTGTTTTTAAAAGTTATAACCATCCTAGTGGGTGTGAAGTGGTATCTTGTCATGGGCTCACCATTACTTTTGCACCAGGAGTTCAAATGTCAACACAGTGAAAGAGGCCAATAACATCTTAGTAATAATAGGAAAATATTTTGAATCTCAATGACCCATGGAAGCATCTGAGGTTGCCA